TCAGCATAACCCTCAGAGAGCCCAAGGATGTGCACGGTGCCGCCTCTTCTGCAGCAGATTATGTGAACTATAATAAACTCCTAGTATCGCCGTTGATATTCCCATACTAGTCCCGCATATAATCCATCATAGAACCCCGTTAAGGAGTTTACACTATAGCTCATATGGGATGTATGCTGGTGATACTCCCAGTCTGCGCGGAATGGTTGAGGGTTTTAGGATTAAGGGTCCTTGGACCGGACCCTCTGAAGAAAGCCTCCTCTACGATCCTGCATAGAACCGCCTGTAATTATCTCTGCTGAGATCCCAAGTTTTCCAGGAATACATTCCCGGAAACTAACATAAAACCTCTACAGATTGCAGTCCATTTAAAAGGGCGCTATATGGGCTATAGTCTAAACTCCTAGCATCCCCCTTAGATGCCCTTGTAATGCTCCCCTATATAATCCTCTACATAACCCCACTTTCAAGGAGTTTAGACCATAGCTCATATGGGTTTTCATACTAGTTTGGGGGATTATGGGAGTGCTCTGCGTGGTGTCCCCTTGAGAAGACCATTGCACCATCAAGCCCTGCCCATAACCATCATTATCACCACCACCGCCACCTGTTGCAGAAAATCCTGAAGCACTGCTGGTAGGTGATGAATTTATGAAGAGAACAAACCCACAACTGAAACCCTGAGCCTTTATTGAAAGATGGCCATCCCCTAACCCTAAACACTTACAGCAAGTTAGTAGGGAATAATGAAATATATCATATAGGATTTATATAGGGATTGTATTCCCGTATTCCCGACTAAGCACCAGTAAGGATAGATCCCCTAACCCTAAACCCTGAACTCTTAACTCTAATGAATATTCTCTCATTCCCGGGGCTCCGGCACACCAACTTGGAACCAGTCTCATCCTCGACCAAAATCGCTTGGCCAAAGGCCCCTGGAGGGTTTCAGACTGTTGAATCATAGGACTTGCTGGCTCTTAGAAGGGAATAAGCGAATATAATCCGTATATGAGCCATAATCTAAACTCCAAGCATCCCTCTCAATAACCCCTATAATACTCCCCTATATAGCTCCCTTTAAGGAGTTTAGACTGTAGTTCATGTAGTCCCTATGAAATATATTCCCCGATTCCCTACTAAGAAAGAGTAAGATGATTTTTGGAATCACAAGCGGAAGCCTTAGGGACCCGCGGGATATGTAGGGATTGACAGCAGATTGTGGGCTCCGTGCTTCTGAGCATTTTGAGCTCTGCGATGACGTGTAAGGACGAGGCTTTAGGGTTTGGGGTTCCGGCTTTAGGGTTAAGGGTTATAAAGCCTAAACCCTAAACCCTAAGCTAAACCCTAAACCCTACCTGAAACCCTAGGGTTAAGGGTTAAAGGTTGGGACATCTCCTTCTGGGCCACCACAACACTAATCCCACGTTCTCCCTGAGACATGCCCTAAAGGCTTGTTCGAATGGCAGCGTTTGGAAACCAGAGGTTTAGGGGTTAGGGTTTAGGGTTTAGGGTTGTAATCTTTTAACGAGGAGTAAAGGTAGAGACCCAGGCAGGTAGTGTCAGGCTGTTCCTGTGTTCCTTCCCTATGCCGTACAGGCTTCTTAAACACCTTTGGCAACCCAACTCGGGACCTAGGACCCTTCAACTAGGTCTTCAACTACCATATGACTAGAACAGGATCCTAATTTGGGGGGTCGGGGTACCGAAACCATTTGATTAGTTGAAAGCCTTCAAACTGCTGGGTGACAGTCTAACGTTTATGGGTTTTGGTGCTTCAAAAGTAGGTGTGTTTCTCTTACGTTTTCCAGTTTTGGAAAAATGTTTTGGGGAAGGAGACTAGGGGAAACATGGAAGGGATCCTCCTCCTGCCCAAGGAAAGACACCAAACCCTAAGCCTGAAACCCTGAACCCTAAACCCTGAGCCCTAAGCCCAGAACCTATCCGTTTCCCTGGTTTTCAGAGGCCCAGACCCTTGAATCCCTTGAGATCTCTATGAGGGCCATGAGTTAGAGCCATTGGAGGTTGCGGGTGTAGGGTCTAGCGCCTAGGGTGAAAGGTTCAGAGCTAAGGTTACAAAAAGGAGAACTACCCTCATGTCAAGTTGCAACTTTATTTGGGGTGCTTGTAGCTTCCCATACACATCCAGGTACACCCCAAAACCTTGAGCAGTGAGCTTTTGCGGGTTGCGCCTTCGCCGATCTTTCGGATCTCTTTGTAGCCATACCTGGGATGTTGTTGCAACGTGGTTGATGGGTTGGGTTTTGGGGTTTAGGGTAAATGTTATGTATGCCTGAAGCCAACAAAGATTCAAAACAAGAAAGCTTCAATGGTGCCTCAACCACAAAGGACCCGCACGCCGAGGAGGACATTCCTATAGATACCGTATTATGAGTATGCTCGCATCCTAATGTGAAGAGAAGATGGGGATACCAACCCTGCTCCTGAACCCTAAGCCCTAAAACCCTTAGCCCTAAAACCCTGCGTCTACAACCCTAAGCCCCAAAAACCCTTAGCCCTAAAACCCGTAACCCTAAACCCTTAGCCTGAAGCCCGAAAACCCCAAACCTAAACCCTCAGTCCTAAACTTAAATCCTAAAATCTAGGCCCTAACACCCTAAACCCTAAGCCTTAAAAACCCTAAGCCCTGTGACCCTAAACCCTGCTCTCTAAGCCCTAAAACCCTAAACTCTCCACCCTAAACCCGCAATCCTGAACCCCAAGTCCTAACATCCTGAACCCTAAGCCCTGAACCCCTAAACCCTGCCCTCTGAACCCTAGAACCCTAAAACCCTAAGCCATAAAACCCTAAAACCCTAGATCCAAAACGCTAAGCCGTAAAACCCTAAACCCCAAACCGTGTTCAAGATACTTCAGCAGCAGCAGCGATCCTGAGGACAGCATCGCCCTGCTCAGAACGAACACGGGTCGCGCGGGCGGTCAAGATGTTTAGGGTTTAGGGTTTGGGGTTTAGGGCATGCAGGGCTTCGTGGGCATAGGAACTTTGTATCGTGGGGGATACCTTGCAATCATGGAGAACCACATGGAACAGAGAACGGAAAATGAAAGGGACGCCTTGTTTTTTTTGGAGGCTTCAGTTGATGGAGAAAATTAGGCGCCACTTAGGTCCCCCAATTTAGTGCAAATATTATTGGGTTTATATGGGCTGGTGCAACATGTCCTCTGGCCAAAGTACGTAGTCTTTGCATCACCCTGCAGTCGATGTGGCCTCAAGATCCGAATATAGGGCTTAGGGGCTTTGGGGCTTAGACCCCCAGATCAACCGACCCAAACCCAGCTGAGCCTCTCTTAGCTTCCACGGAGGACGGCCATGCTTCGGGACATAAGGACACAGGTCTTAGGTTGCTTGGCTAGGGTTTAGGGTCTAGGGTTTAGGGCTTAGGGTTTAGGGTTCAGGGAGGTAATGGGATCATGGAAAAGAAAATGGCGACTACTATATTATAATCGTCTATATGTTGGGGTTATATGGGGATAATGTAGCATGCTGGAATGCTTGAGAACTTTAACGTCGGCTCCACGAAACAATGGGCTTCATGAAGGGGTCGAAACTACAACTGATGACTCCCATCAAAGCTGAAGACAGGAATAACAACGCGAAGCTTCACACAACATCATATGAGCTATAGTCTAAACTCCTAGTATCCCCCTTAATAACCCCTATAGTGGCGCCTTATATAATCCCCTATATAGACCCCCTTTTAAGGGCTTTAGACTATAGCTCATATGTTCCTACTTTTGCTCAACTGTCATCCTTGGGCTGAGTGCTGAGGGTTCCAGTTTGTGTAGAGTATTGGTGATATTTTCGGAAAATGGAAAAGAACCTGGCAACTACTATAGTATATTGGGGTTATCTTGGGATAGTGGAAGAGAAAATGGAAACTACTATAGTATATTGGGGTTATTTGTGAGGTTGTTTGAGTCAGGTGGCTGGGAGGTTCACCTAGTCTTGAGTTGCCATGTTCAGCCCAGAACAGTTCGGCTGGTCGCATCAAACATCGAGCCCACGGACACAGCAAGCATGAAAGCTTCACAAGAACACAACTTTGGCAGCCAATCACGGCCTCTTGGGTTGGGGGGGGTCGAGGTGGGTACACACTGAGGGCACATTTGCATAATCTCCTACGTGCTTGGCTCCAGTGTTTGGGGTTCATCTTCGGCTCTGAAAAAAAAGAAAGGAGAAAACGCAACAGCACCAAAACACGTATCAAGTCTACATTGTCTACATCCGCCAAGGTTTCAACCCAACTCCGCATCTAGCCACCCAAAAAGGGACCCCCGAGCCCTGGCTTCGGCACATGCGTGGCTGATGTGCTTCTAAGTAAAATGACACTCTTGGTATCCCAGTAACCTTATTACAATAAGGGTGCCCTTTTTCCCTGCTGGTATAATATATGAAAGAACTCAATACCCAAAACGGGCAAAAGGGTACCACTGGGATTCCAAGCACTCCCATGCTGGTAGGAACTCCACTGCGAACCTGATCTTACTCTCCCGACTACCCCCCCGAAAAAAGGCTCCCGTACCACTCCTTGGGTGGGAGCGCTGTAATGCCTTGCGCCTATGCTTCGCAAAAGGCACACGGTTTAGGGTTTAGGGTTTAGGGTTTAGGGCACGCTCCTACACCCTGAAATCTAAGCCGTAATCTCTCCACCCTCATCCCTGCACTCTTGCCCCTAAACTCTAAAATGCAAAGCTCTCATGCCTTCGCAGACGAACGTTTGCGTATTTCCAGAAAGTCTATTCTTACAATCCCCACTACAGAGTAAACAGGGGCCCCACATCTTGGTAAACCCCATGCTGCTAACCTGTAACCCTTAGACACTAAACCACGTTTATACCAGAAAAACTTGTTTTAGAATGCTCCCATACTATAATATACTATAATATTGTGTAATACAATAAAAAATGTGCCAGAATGAGTTTCACGCCCGACCCGCCATAATATAGTATAACAGGGAACCCTGATGTGAGCAGCAGGCAGTCTCTTCTGCAATCTCGGCTCCACACCTTGTCCGTGGGCTCACGAAGAGGATTCATACATCGGGGTAACATAGGGTAATATAGGGTTATATAGGGATACTGGAACAGAAAATGGAAACTATTAGTTAGGGCTTACGATCTGGGATTCAAGGTCAAGGGTGTAGGGCAGTGTAGGGTTTAGGGCTTAGGATTGGCTAGAGCCAGCGGTTCGCAAAGCCCATGCTATTCCACACATTTGGTGTTTGTACCTAGCGATTCGTGAGTGCGAATGTGCAATTGCGAGTGGCGCGCGTGTTTGTCGCACTATGACAGACGCCTGAGGCTGCATCCTGATTTGTACTGAATTCTCCACTACGCAAAACATCCGTGGATGCATCCTATTGCTCTCGTTTTTTGTGATTTTGGTTCCTGTGCCCAAAGGCGGCTTTGGTTAAAGCACCCTTCTTCCAGGCTTATGGAACCCTTTGGATCCCTTTGGCATTTGGATCGCTTTGCTTGCCTTTGGAAGCCCTTGGCCTGCAGGCCCTAAGCCCTGTATCTGATTTAAATTTTCTGAAAGCCCCTATATCCGAAATTCTGTGGAGACAAGAGATTCTTGCAAGTAAAGAGGGTTTAGGATGCGGCGTTTAGGGTTTAGAGTTTTGATAGGGCTTCGGTCTGCGGGTCTTAAGTCGGGGGCCCTTATAAGGAGTCTTCCAAGGATATGTGTAGATATACATATATATCTGTATATCTCCATATATATATATAAATAGATGTATGTCTATCATGGCTTCCCCTACTACCTTCGGCTATACTACCCCAGAAAGCTTCACCCTTTACGAAAGTTGCTTAAGGACACTTAGGGTTCCGAAGGCTAATCAAGGGGGAACCGGGGAGTAGGGTAGTAGCGGCAATAGCGGAAGTCATGAGGCCAGGAATAAAGGGAAGGTTTAGGGTTTAGGGTTTAGGGTAGAAGCCCGAAGCCCTAACTAAACCCGCGGCGCCAGCAATACCTTCTAAACCCTAGAATCCTAAACCCTAAAACCCCTAGACCCTAAAACCCTAAACCATAAACTCCTAACGGTCCAACCCCGAAATCCAAAACGCTGACATCCTACACTCTGAACCCCAAAATCATGAAACCTTTGTCTCTAGTTTGGGCTTGAGAGCTCAGACTCGAGATTCAAAGCTTCGCTTACCCTGAACATCCAAGTACCCAAGAATAAGGTGCTCGGGATTTGGTTAATAATATTTATGGTACAGGTTTGACGTGCGTAGATTACTGGCACTTGGACCCTTAGGTTTAGGGAGGGCTGAGGCTTTAGGCCTTTGGATTGTGATCGACTTTTTTCTGAGGGCTGGAGCTTCCTGGCTCAGGTAGCTCAAACACAAGCTAACCACTGGAGCCACATGTGAATGACTTGAGGCTTTAATAATCTCCAGTTTCTCCTGGCACGGGTCTGAGAACCTTTGGTCTAGTTAACGTGGAGCGATTAACTTGAGAATCCGTTTGCACCTGTAAGAGGTCCTGGTAATCTCAGAACATTTTAAATCTAGCCCTAGACTCTGAAAAGCAAACATGAGACGTGGACCGCGTGGCTGAGGTCCGCGCAAGGCGCCCGTAATGGAGTCCAAGCTTTCGGCCCTCAAGCGCTGGGTCATGCGGCTGAAGTTGCCTTGAGGTTTCTTGAAAGCGTTTTGGTTTGAGGGCGGGCTTACGGTGCTGCAAGTTCAGGGCTTTGGTCGTTGAGGGTCTGAGTTTGCTTGGGAGCTTGGAGTTCAGGCTTGAAGTGCAGGATTTAACATTCAGGCTTTAGGTTTATCACACGTAGCACCTTCCAGAGCTTGTGAAACTTTCGTTGGTATTGTCGACATAGCCTTCGAAGCTTGAAGTTGAGGATTTGGAGTTCTGGGAGGGGGCAGATTCCACATGGGATTTGGGGGCTTCCCAAAATTAGGGGTACCTTTTTTGGGGGACCCCCATAATAAGGATTATAGTACTTGGGGGTCTATATTGGGGTCCCCCAATTTTTTGGAAATTACAATTTAATTCAAGGGGAGCATGCTCCTGAATTCCACACCTCTCTGTCTATCATGGCCCTCGCAAGGAATACTCAGACGATGTCGGACATTTGGATACTTGATGCTGCAGATACTCAACATACCGAACTACCCGACTTTCTCTAAGCTCTGGGAATTAATTGTTGCTTACTTCAGTCAGGAGATGAAGGGTTGTCGGTATCAACAATTCAGCGCAAGGCTTTGGGGGCTGAAGCTTCTCAAGGTCCAGGGCCTAGAGCACTTGTCAGTTAGTGTCTCTACCGGTCCCCCCACTTTCGAGAAACCACAGATTTGACAACATAAGCTTTGCACCATGACTCTACTGTAAGGGTTCATGGAACCAGAACAGGATTCCGGGGTACATTCTACTATAGTTATACAACGCTTGTATGCGAATAATAGTGGTAATCCGAGTTTCTATGTCAGTCGATCCTCAAATTGTCTGCTTATCACTGAGCTGGGAGCTCGTTCATGAATGATATCTTGGATATTTCGTGAAACACGCAACTCATCCTGCATTAACCCAACGCCTCAGGGATCATGGGGGGGCACAGGTAAGAACTCTAGCGGTGTAAGTTTGAGAAACTCCCACATAAGAGTGTATCTCCTGTGCTCTCTGTACTCTCAGTGCAACCTTGCAGGCACTGCTGAACAGAATTTCTGTGATGAATGGAATGAAGATGGCTCAGGGAAGAAGAGGGAAATCAGCACCTCAGCACCCCAGACATACGCTTGAAACTGCCAGATTCCCATCCTAGCCTGCCTTAAACAAGAGCCAACCATCTTCAGGTTTAGGGCACTTACATCCACTCCCATGTTCCCAACAAAGTGGCGCGGGGCTTCTTGGGCAAACACCTCCGCCTCCCAAGCTTTTCAGCACCCAAAGAAGACCTAAATGGGTAGTTCTCAAAATTATGGTCCTATTTTGGTATCCCTAAATATTAGGTGCCGTGATATAACCTATAACCAAAAGTGACCCATAACTTGGAGAACAACCCTAAATAGTTCTCCAAAAGCTGAAAGGCCTCAACACTTCCTTGGGAGCAAAAAAAGGAAAAATGAGGAGGTCCACACTCCAAAGTGTATAATAGTAACAGTAGTAACAGTAATAGTAGTAGCAATAAGAAAAGATAACAACAAGAATAATTGTGATAACTATAATGGCAGTAGTAGTAGTAGTAG